GTTCTTTCTTACTATATATATATATATATATATAGGAAAAGTTTATATAAGGTTGCAACCTTATAATGTAGAGCTACAGATGCACCTAAAAAATCCATCGAAAAAGGTAGTTTTAATGTTGAAAAGCCCTTTGATTGATCATCTGGACATTGAGATGTATGATCGTGAAAAATAAAAGGATATCATGTCTCAAAAATAGTGCATCTTACAACATATTATCTACACTGTCCATTTTCAAGATTTTCATATGTTTATAGATCTACTTAATTTTAACCATTTTTAAAATTTAAAATTTTATAATTAGGTATAAAAATATATTTTGAAATAATCCTAAGAACATTTTACAACAAAATTATATACCATGATAAAATTTGAAGGCGCACCTTACCTCTACAGCTACAGTTTTTAATGCATATCACTATTTTAATTTTAATTTTTTTCTATAAATCTGATTAAGATGATATTTTGAGTGTATATACCTAATACTATTGCACACAATATAAAAATATAAAAAAATTATTTTCAATAATTTAAACTGGCAAAATTACCATAGTCATTTTTCAGAGGTATTTCGGTCATTTTATACTTTGGGAAAAAAATTTAATTGTGCATTGTATTTTGAAGTACACTCGTTTAAAATTTCACTATAATCTGATGTCTAAAAAAAATATTAAAATTCATATAGTGATATGCATTCTGAGCAAATGATGAAGATCTGCCGGCTGGAATTCCTTCTATCTTACTATTCATTATAATTGCCCAGCTATTGTTATCTTTATCCTATTATAGCTGCCCACGGACTAATAGGAGCCGTGGCGGTCCCCCATATTTTTTGCTGCAAATTTGAGTGAAAAAAAAATCCTGCCAAGGACATGCTAAATCTGTGATGGTCTTTAATCCACGCCGTCTGAAATAATTGGTTTTTTCGGACGGCGCCGAGCCTATGGGCGAAAATATTGTTCATTGTCGCTCATAGGCATTTTGTAGTCTCTTCCTATATATATATATATCTATATATATACCAACAGTATTTCTTGCACATAAGTCAACAATTTCCTATACTTGACAAATGTTCACCTTGATCTTGCAAATTTTCGTTTTTCTCGAGTAGGGTTTGATGCCGTTGAATTCCACATGGCAGATTTTGTCTCCATAGTGAGCATCTTTAGAGATATTTTCCTCAAATAATCTGCCTGGAAATCAATAATTCCGAGGTGAGAAATGAGAATATTAAGATTCTCATAAGGGACTAACATTTATGAGTATAAAGCATCCAACTAATCACAATATACAAGATTAGGAATAGAACCACAAGCATAATTATTTAATTATTTTCTCACGAATAACTATACCAAAATACACAAATTTCTTGTTTCAAAATTAACACTCAAGTCTCGACAAACCAGCAACCTAACAACCAATAACCATAATACCTTCTACTCTATCTATTTCCACGGCCTGCTTAAGTTAATCAATTGTTCCAATGATCATTCAGTCTAACTAATTCTCCTTAATAAGTGCTAAAAGTTTATAAGGTTGGGAAGGGTATTGAGCCAACTCCATAGTTAAGCTCTGAGCTTGTAAGCCGGATTCTTCCAAAACAACTAAAAAGGTTGGGTGCGTTAGTAAAATTATTCATTAGTTCATGCAAACAATAAAGTCGGATATCAATCATATAAAGAGAAAATGTTGGGCCGGTCAAAGTTCACAAGAAGTTCAGTTAACTTATTTTATTCAGTGATGTTTGTTTTCTCAACCTGTTCACTAAGCTGATCTCCAATTCTTTGATTCACTCCCAGCATATGCCATCCCAAACCTACACAAGAGTAGATTTTCTTTTCTTTGCTTATTTACACAGTTTGCCATGTCAAGGGTTGGTGGGGAGAGGTTTTAAGGCTGGCAAGTCTATGACGTATAGAATTTCTCCCCAGTTAACAACTTGCAAAATCAGGAGGAACCACAGAAAGCTATTCCAGTTTTGTGAACTACCAAATGAACAAAAACTAGTCTTTATTTGAACTGCAAAATATCAACACACTAAAACAGCTCTAACATTAAACCCCATACATTAAAAAACATTAAAAAAAAATATCACCCTGAAGTTGAACAACTGAGAAAGGAAACATAAAGAAAATGAACGGAACCAAATAAGAATGGTAACAGAACTATCTATGTGGCATTATGTGTACACATGACAAATACCAGGATGCATGTAGCATGCACTTGTACATACGTAGGAATACCTGCATGATTATTGATGCATGCATGTCCATAGAAATATCTAAATATACGAAATATTTATCAAAAACATTATGTATGACACAGTTTAGAAGCCAAATTTAAAAACTTTCAAGACAATGTTATTTGAAGGGATTTACCCACTAAAATTTTGTAGGGCTTCAATGATTATCTGCTAACCAAAGCAAATAAGTAGTGCTTGTCTCCCACGATACTGACATATACACTTCTATCTTACATACCTTATTGTATGATACAATTCAGTGTGAACCCAATTCTAGATTCACATTGTCATATAATCATATTTCATTCCAAATAAGACTTCCAAGTTGGCAAATTTAATAGGGACATGAAACTGTAGAATGAGATGAAATTTCTCGAGACGAAATGAAAACGAAGAAGAAAAGGAAGGAAAACCAAGAAAACAATCACTAGGTAGCCACAACTGAAAATATAAATTACAGATTGACAAGGAGAGAAAGGAGAACCTGGTTCTCAGCACTTGTAAAGATCTTCTCTTCGAAAAGTGCAGCAACTGTCGTGAGTACAGAGAGTCCAACGGGATCACCTGCTGGAAAGTGCCTCTTAAGAGTATCCAATCTGCAAATTTAAAACAGTAAAGGCCATCAACTAGAGCAGTAGAGCTTGTGGTTTTATGGATCAAGCCACTTAATATTTAAGGAAAATCCTCCAATATCCAATGAAGACCTGACATTAATACTCATTAGCCATCAATCCCGAAGACTCACTCCCGAAAAAAAAAGTGTACACATTACACCATGATTAACCGATCAAAACAACAACGACTAATCAAAGGCCTAAAACAACACCTGCTGATAACAACCAGACCTGACCCAGGGCCTTTTGAATGCCCTGCCTTGCCTTGCAGCAGGCTCAGAGCCACCACCAAAGTTCCTCACAAGCCGGAGAACGGGACTGAACGGGGTACCTTTCTAAGCTAAGGAATTTATACTATTAACTAAATCGTATTGTAGGGCGGCCTTGGAAACCAGGGAGCTAATACAAGAATGATCCCCATTACCACAGTTCCTAAGGGAGATGGAACCCTCCTAGCTACACTACCCACCGGCGTTCCTTTGTTCGATTGAAGATTCATACGCATATCAAGACCTAGTGGGAAAGGCACTACTCACTTGAAGGTAGGGCCACAGCCAATTCAAGATCCTTCTATAGTTGCAGATCGAGATGAATATGGACTGCACGCGCCGGTAGTAGCCTTTCTCATACAACGAATAGACAAAGCATATTCTCCGGTCAACGCTTGATCCAACCTCTTGATTGTCGTTCTGAGAACGGTTCCGCCATTGCATATGGAACAATGTTGCGCTGGCCGATAATAGTGGCCGAAACCAATATTAATGTTTCGGTATTGCCTCTGGTATTGCTCAATCCTACTCTCAATTTTTAAGGACATGTAATCTCTAACATGGAGATCATGAATATGAATAAATAAATAAATTTCAAAAATTAATAATTCTAGTAAAAACACATTTGGACAGTTAGTTACCATTGTTTTTAGATGGAACACCTACTTGCATCCATCTTTAAGATTGATGCTTTACACTTTCTAGACCGCATATGTAGAAATGCAGTTCAGCCCGCATGAAACAATTTTCCTTAAGTCCATCTCAACAAGGGTAAGTTGTATTATCCTTCCGTTTCTCTAATATCCTTGGAATTCTAAAAATTCCCTGTTTACTGAAGCTATAACAAAGTAAGAAATATAGTTCAATAAAAAACAGCACACAAACATAGGCAATATCAAATTGGGAAAGAGAGAGAGCTCACATAGAGAGAGAGAGAGAGAAAGAGAGAGAGCTCACATCTTATTCACAATCCTCTGCCTAGAATCAGCTGAAAGCTCTGTCCTCCAATCGTTATCCATGCTATTCAAAAACCCAAAAATGAACAAAATTATTGTATAAAATCTCAAGAACTAAACTTTCATAAGCCTATGACCCAAACAAGAGAAAGACTATTAGTATTCCAGCCAAATCTCAGTGTTCGAAAATTTCAAGAAGCCAATACTGTTTACTTCGCCAAAAAGGAAAACCCAATTCCTGAACCCAAGGGCTCTAAATACTGGAAAGCCTTAACAACCTACAAACGTTGTCTTCTCTATTGCCTAAAAAACCCCAATTTCAAATCCAAGGAATCTCAAAACTACAAAATTCTTTGCGATCGTGATCCTTTCTCCTCAATGGCCAAAAAACGAAAACCCTAAGTTTGCAATCAGAGGGTTAGGAGAGAGAGAGAGAGTTGAATAATTGAGCCACTGTGGCAACTGTAATTGTGTCAACTGAAAAGTGACTGTTAAGATTGGAATAAAGTTGTTACTGTTTCAAAAAAAAGAGAGACGGGTGGTTGACTAGGGTGAATGTAAAAGAACAATATGAAAGCAGTATTAGTATAAATGCTCTCACAGGAGCATATTGTATAATTATTCCCTCAAGATCCACTCGCGAACGAATTGCCATTGCTATGAGATCATTATTGCTGTTACAAAGAGGTCATCCTTGCTGGAAGCCATCAGACGTTGAATGGTAGCCATTCGAGAATTTCTTTTCTGAGTGATTCGGTAGAGACTCTAAAGTTTTAGATAAAATACAAAATGCTTCGTGTCAACCCTTTTTTTTTTTTCAAAACTGCCCCTCAGTCAACTTGAATTTTCATTTTTTTTTTATATATTTTTGCTATCTGTTAGTAGGGCAGTGCCATACAGCTTGGGGCACTGTCCTACAAACGAAAAATCAAAATCCGAGTTGATCAAGGGAAATTTTGGAAAAATATAAAAAAAGTGGGTTGACGACCTTCTTTGTAATTTTCAGAGCATTTCGAATTTTGCCTAAACTTGTAATGTCAGTACGTCACTCATCTATTTTTTGAATTTTAAATGTAATCAATATATTTTCTATATATAAAACATGAGCAAGTGACTAGATGTCTATCAAGAATTCATCTTAGATTTGGAGTTTGGTAAGGATCGAGAATAAAGATAAGTAACTTAAGTTCTCATGGGAAGAATTAGCATGAGAAAGGGAAGTGTGCCCACGTGTCCATCTATCAATAGCATACAATATTGGTTAATTAGATAGGTCCGATGGAACTAATGCCAACAAAATAATATAACAGTTGATTTTATGATCTCTCACAACAAACTTTTATTAAGAACTCAAAATTTATTTATTTATTTTTAAATACACTTCTAAAAATAGATCCCCATTTTTGCATGGACCAAATGCACAATGTGTCCTTATGGGTGCACTCTAGAAAAAACTAGTGTTATGCACATGCGTTGGACGTGGCATGATTTATTTAAAAAATAATTGTTAATATGAATCACTATCACCACCATTATTATCATTAACATTACCTTATTGAATAAATAAAATATTTATTTTATTTATAGATATTATTTAATAATATACAATATAATATATATATATTTTTTATAGATGTTATTAAATAATATAAAATAATCATGCATAATGAAATAACACGGATGCCACAATAAAAGATTCAAACAATTGATAAAATAGTAGAAAGCTAGCTTTCTTTCTTTTTTTTTTAAAATATTTATAATTTTAATTATAAATGATTTAAAATTAGTATATATTTAAGTTTCAATAAGATGTAAATTATTGAATAAGAATTAAAAAAAAAAAGCGATGAATTTCGATGGATTGAAAATAGTACTGATTTACAAATTTCTTTAATAAAGCCATAAAAAAACGGAAACGAAAAAATCCTTCTAAGGCCTAGATCTAAGCATCTTATCAAAATGGATGGCTTATGTTAAATGGGTTAAAAACTACTTTCTGGATTGTGTTTCCAAATTTTTCTTTTTTGTGAATGTTTTTAATATGAAAAGAGAGTATATTTTAAAATTATGATCATACAAATGGCCCTAACATAGTTTTTGAAGATTCTTGCATTATATTACTATACGACCGTTGCATGAAATCATTCCCCCATATATATAGGGAAGTGATCTAATGCAACGATTGCATCTCATTATAATGCAACCACACTTCTAGAAAACCATGTTTGTGGTATTTGTATGACCCAAAATTTTGCACACACACTCTTTTCATCTCAATAATCAGTCCAAAAACAAAAAGTTCAATTTGAATCATAGATATGGTCAAAATGAGGCCTCCAGCAACGAATTTAGACCATTCATTTTGTGAATTTCATGATCTTATTCTTTACAAACTCAAAATCATTTTTTTCTTTGTTAATATTGTTCATCTAATATAATGAAGTCATCTAAAAAAATTGGACATGAAAAAATCCTCCTAAAGCCTAGATCTAAGCATCTTATCAAAATGGATGGTCTATGTTAATTGGGGTTAAAAAATACTTTCAAAGTTGCGCTTTCGATTTTTTCTTTTTTGTTATTGTTCATTAGAATAAAAAGTATTTTTCTTTTTTTCTTTTTTTCTTTTTTTCTTTTTTGTTATTGTTCATTAGAAAGAAACACCACAACGTACACCACGATTCCCCGGTGGATGGGTCGTCCCTGCTGCCGTTCCCTTTCCTCTTGGAGTGAAATCTACACTGTTTACCCCAGAACCCTCCCTCATCGTCGTCCCTTGGTGATTCCTCTGCTTCCTCCTCCCCCGTGCAGAGCTTCCTTTGCCTAGGTCCTTTCTTCCTCCCCTTCTGCCCCTCCAGCTAAGGTCTCTTCTCCCTCTTTTGGCTCTCCTGTTCCCCCTATTGTCTCCCCTTTCTTTCCATTATGTATCACCATCCCCTCGGAGGAGTCTGATAGCCTCTCCAAAAAGTTCTCGACTTCCCTAGTAGGTAGCTTTCACCCGAAGAGAGATGATAGTAGCGGCATTGTGCGGTGGGCCAGAAGTCTTTGGCAGGTGTCTGATTTGGTCTGTAGACGTCTGTCCAATGGTGACTTCCTTTTCTCCTTCCCTTCTCTGGAGGAAGCCAACTCCGCCCTCCGCAAGTGTCCTAATCCTTCATTCAGGGGAGCCTCCTGCTCTCTGCGTTGTTGGTCTCCTAATCTTGTCCTAATTGTTAACTTCTGCTCTTTGTATGATCATTCAGGGGAGCCTCTTGCTCTCTAGGATGTTGGTCTCCTAATAGACTCTTCCGTTTTGCTGATTGAAGTTTTGGACACCTCTTTGATCCCGCAGTTTGTGTGGCTTGATATCAATGGTCTATTCTACCTTGTTACTCTCTCTTGGGCTTCGGCTTTGCCACCCTCCCCCCACTTCTTCCATAATACCCCATCGGCTCCTTGCGTGGCTTTATCGCCCCAGCGGTGGGAGGTGGTGACTAGGACGAACGACAAGAGATTGCGACCTAGACGTCGTCCCCCTGAGCTTCAGCAGAAGAAGTTTTAGCGTCCCCGCCCGTCCACCGTGTTACTAGACAAGGGGGGTTGTGCCTTCTCGATCCAGGTTGGTACCCCAGCGGAAGAGAAAAACAGGGGAGACTCGCCTCTCCAAACGAGTCTTGCCATTTACTCGTCCCCTGCTTTGCCGAGTTGTGTTTCGGTTCAATGTGGCGAGTGCGAGTTCGCTAGCCGACCTGGTAAAGAGGTCCTTGTTAACTTTCATCCTCCTTTGGCCCCGACCCGAGAAGTTAGTCCATCTGCCTCCTATCCTCCGCTGGTTCTCGGGCCCTCCTCTTTACTCGACCCACTTTCCTTTGCTGTCTCGGTCCTTCCCCTTTCTCCCGCCCCTCTCCCCTCTCAGCAGGAGGCCACGTGTCCCTCCTTTTCACCTACCCCTGTACTCTCGTCAGCTGCCTCGACTTCCACACGTCTGTCTCAACCACCTTCTCTCCCCCATCTATCGCACTCAGATCGCCACTTTGGGAAGAGCACTTGAGTGCTGCACAGCTATCCCTGTCCCACCCGGACCCCCCTTGTCACCCTTCAGATGGCTCCCGTGGGAGTTTCCACCCCCTTATCAACCCCCTGTGTTCCTGTGGTTCCCTTTCTTCCTGCTGACGTTGTCTTACCCGGCCTATGCTCCTCCTCCCCCTCTTTGGGCCCCTTCTCAGCTCCTGGCCCGATACCCAATCCCTCTGAGCCCTGTGACTCCATTCTCCTTGAGCCGTCTTATCATTGCCAGCTAGCTCCCGTCCGGACTTCCTTCGAGAGGGTTCCTTCGCCACCTTTGTCCCCTTACCTCCCTTCCCCAAAGACTGTCTCCCCTAGGTTAGTGTGTCAGTCGGCCACACCTACTTTATCACCTGGGTTCTCCTCTCCTCTCTCCCCAGCCTCTTCATCTGTGTGCCAGCCGGGTACTCATTATCTCCCTCTTGGGCCCTTAACTCTCCTTTTGGGTCAGTAACCTACATCCCCCCCTCCTCCTCCTCTGATCTTTGAGCCTACGCTTGTTTCCCCCTCCAGCCCCCCCTCCCCTTCTCCCTCCCCGCAGGTGCCCTACAGTAACCCGAGCTCTTCTCTGAACCTGCCAACCTCCTTATGCGCTGACTCTCTACACTCCCCCTGTTCTCTCTCTCTCTCTCTTTCTACCCTTTTAACCTCGATCACCCCTTTCCCTTTGGCCTTGAACCTTCTATCCTTATTAAGATGAATCGAGACTTTCTCCCAGTGGGCATCGCCACAACCCAGTCACTGGACCCATCTCCTCCTGACCTGTCCTCTATTGTTGACTTCCTGGCCCCGCATCTCTCTTTTACCCCTCATCTTGTCCATATTCATAGGGCCCACACGATTCACGTTGTTTGGCCCCCTAACTACGTCTTTCTACTTTCCTCCTTCACCTCCGTCCAGACTCACCAGTTTCTTACCTTTGTCCCTAACTTCTCCCTCCTCCCCAGCGTGTTACCCCCCTCTCCCTCTCTTTACCCTCTGTCCCCTGGTGCTCTTATTCAGGAAGCCACTCCCATCTTTGTC